ACATGACGTAACATAACATAAAACCTTTTAATTTCAACACGATAAGAGTTAAAGCATGAAAGCCTTCGATTAATAGGATAAGTGTTTCTAATTCACCAACCCTCATTGCTGCTAAATGATCCAGAAGACAAAAGTCTGTTTTCATAAGTTCAATAATGGAACAGCTTGCCTATAACAAATACAAAACTTAACCATTAAAATGCAGAATTTGTCGACAATATACCACACCCGCCAAAAGATCATGTGGTGGCAGATGGTAGAGAAAGACAGGGTTCGTACCCTTTTTCAGAAACAAACTTCCAGGACATTTCCAGGACTTTTCCCGGACTCAGATTGATTTTTCCAGAACTCTGAAATTCACATCACATTCTCCTTACTGTCTGCCATACATTTCATACTTTTTTACTTGAGTTTAAGAGATTTCCAGAACTTTCCAGGACCAGTAAACCTTTTCCAGGACTTTCCAGTCCTGGAAAATGCCACAATAAAATTCCAGGACTTTCCAGGTTTTCCAGGATCCGTACGAACCCTGGAAAGAGCTGGAGCAGTGTTCAAGTCATGGCAAAAGACCGGCAGGTGTGGAAGGATTACGTTGCTGCCCTACTTGCCACCAAGGCATAATAGGCATGAGTGGGTGAGTGAATACCACACCCTTTTCAACAGTAAATTTATTACTAATAGTAAAGTTGAGAAGCTGCCAAATACTTGCTTTGGTCTAAATCTAAATAGGATTGTGGTTTAATTGTGATCATAATAATTATTTGAAATACTGTTTGCTAATTTATAAACTGACCCGTGTGCAGGAGTCTTCAATGAGAGGTGTAAGGCACTCGGTCAGCAATAACTCCACTGGTTTGAGCAAATTAAAAACCCCTGAGACAAAAATAAAATTCAAATATAATTACTACTTGTGTGAGTCCATGATAATGACTTTCACAAAAAAAAGTAACAAAAAGTATTTTAATTATCAACTTCACGACAGTAGCAACTGGCCAGTGAATATGAAACACTTTATGTTGACAGAGTTGAGGTTTGGTTTGATTGAATCCAACTTCATTACATACATTTGCAAAATATACTTCCACAAAATTATTTTTCACTCCACTACATGTATAGCCTTGATCTATTTGGTTAAAATGTTTCACAATACTCTCTATACAGTCCTTGATCAAAGGGCAGATTTGTTGTAGCTACTCACGCATATCGATGTGTAGAACTGTAACTTAATAGAATAACATTGCCTGCAAGGTACTTATTAACAAATAGTTCTTGATAGCTGATGATGTAGCAGTTTTAGCTAAAAAGCTTTACTGAGCTAATGTTCTGCAAAGAAACACCTCTTGAAAGTAATAATGCAATTATTGGTTGTACCTGAACAGATCTTTTCAAGTTTTCCAGCAACAGCACTATAGCAAGAGAAAAGACAATCAGAATCTTATCAATGAATTCTAACATTTTTTAGCAGTTTTGTTGACTAGACATGAACATTTGATATATCTTCAAAAGAGTACTTGAGAGCATCCAAAAATTGATCTTCACTTTGGTCCAGCGTTCAAGCTATATGATCATCACAAGCTACAAGTATGCAGCTCATGTTCAACTTTACAATTAAAACAAGTACCTTCTTTGTGAGTTCTGGCTATTTGGAGATGAGTCCATGAATGAGAGCTTTAAGACATGGTCACCAGTGTCATCTATAACCGACACTACTTGGTCAGAATCAGCTATGATGTCTATAAGGCTTGTTCCATCTTTTTTATCCTGCAGGGAACTATCCACTGTCTCCTCTGATGCTGCAATTGACATGACATAATTTATAGAGGATAACATGAGCACACATAGATATGGAATGTCACGTCGAGTGTTGAACTCGATATCTCACAAGTGAGCAGAGCAAGTTACGAGTGAGAAGAAGAAAGCACGACAACATGAGAAGAGATGTTGTGGACATATCTACAAGCAACCATTTATTATTTTGTTTAAATTATATAAATGTACTCTGACAATAACGTTTTTGATGATTTTCCGAAGATTTCCACAGATTCTACAAAAATTGTCCGAAGGCCACATGAACGTTTCCGAACATTTTCTGAAAATTTCCAAAGATTACCAAAGACAACTGAAGATAAACAAAGATTGCCAAAGACTTTTGAGGAAGATCCGAAGATGTTTTGATCATACACCAACAAGTATAAGTACAGTTCAAGGGTCAAACGTGACATTAGTGAAATCATCAATATCTTCACTTGTCTATTTCTAGTGAAGATATGGAAAATATGCCACCCGAGTCCAAGAGGTGGTTTCGTATGAATTTTACGAGTGGTGTACTGTATTTTCAAGTAAACCTCTTGTCTTTATATCAATAATAAAAGATATGACATGGAATGGTATAAATTAAAATACAGCATGACGAGAGGGCAAGGCATGATATGGCACAAAGTGACATGATGGGAACTGACATGGAATGATGGCATGACCATGAATGACTTGATATGACATGAAAATAACAGACCAAGATTGACTGGCATGACATGAAAAAACACAAGTTACTGTGCATTATTTTGCATTAGATATGTATGCAACACAATTTTGGGCTATTTTGTATTTTCATCCCAAAATTGCTTCACATCCACATTGGATTACATTGATGGGAAATCAACCCACGAAAAGGGCTATTGAGATAACACAACACAAGATAACGTGAAGTGATACAAACTTAAATTGTCGGGATAGCAGAAAGTGATGGAGCATGACAGACTTGAGATGGCATAAAATGACACTCCATGGGAAGAAATGACAAGATCAAATAACATGGTGTGATATGATGTGGCATGACATACAGCGTGATATAGGATTGTAGGTATGGCATGACAAAGTTAAATATCATTGATATGACAAACAGGTAGTTACATCACACATAATAAAAGTTAGTCTATAACTTACAAGGATTACTTGATAACACAGTCAACAGTTGATCCAAAAACTCTTGGTACAATGAGCCTATGTGGTAAGAAGTATAACAGACAACATTTTGAGTGTCAGTGTCATAATATATGAATTACTGATAAATGAAATTAGTCAAGTGTTACATCAGTTGACAAGCTGTAGAAGTCCCTCCAATGAAAATGCTACAGATGATCTGATTGGCTGTACAATTTGCTGTTTATCACATGCAGCCAGCAT